ATTAAAGGGTAACTTCACTGGAGTCAGAGACTAGAATGAGGAGCCATACCTCTCAGCATCAATTACAGGAAGAATTGTCAATTACAGACCCCAACAGAATCATCATCAACAGAAAAGAATCATCAATTATAGGCCTCAACAAGAAAAGATGTATTTGAATTTCCTATAAGAAATTGACTATTTCTACATATCAGCCCGTGAGAAACTGTCATTACCCTGAACTCTTGCTTTCCTCCAATGGATTTTCATTCAGAACCCCTCCCAACTTCCTCCTTCTCCATAAAATAACGTTCTTCTCCTTTGTTTATTGGACCTTGACTACAATCTTGCCCTAGCTTGCATATCCCAAAATGCAGTTCTCTGCTATTCCTCAATAAACCCATTCTTTTGCTAGTAAAACAACTATTTTAATGTTACATTAATATTACTTGGTGATCAGCCATGGGATCCAGACAGGACCCCCAACAACCAGGAGACTGGCGAGCAAACAAGTGCAGGTATCCACAGAGCCAAATGAGCATACTGCTTCCTTACAAACCTGGAGTTTGAGGTTAACTTTTTTCCTGGATTTCAAGTTCTGTTCTCTGTGTTCTAAGCTCTCCAAGCTTTATTCAGGATTTGTTTCAAGGCTTTGCCCTTAAGAGTACTTGTTTGGCCTTTGGTCCAACTCCTTTTTAGAACCAGACCACTCCTGTTGGAACTGTGTTGACCTTTGGCTCAACTCCTTTTTGTGACATACCATTTCTATACAAACTGTTTTTGTTGGGAAAATGCTAGCCTTCGGTCACCTCTTTTCTGGAACTGGACTGTTCCTGTTGGAACTGTGCTGGTCTTCAGTCTGATTCCTTATGGAATCAGGCTGTGTCTATTGGAATTTTTCTTTTTGCCTTAGAAAAAAAACCTCTAAGAAATGGGATCCCAGTCATCAAAATTTTTTTCTAGGGCACCTCCACTTCTAGGACCCCAGCCGGTTTTATGTTTAAAACTACGGTCCTTCCTCATGCCTATTTCTAACTAAATGGACCCACTTAACTAAACATAATTTAGAACTTCAATGGCCATTACAGTGAACTTTTGATTTCCTTAAACCAACTTTTCTCAAAACTAAATTGGATAGACATGGCTCTACAACTGTCAAAACTGAATGAGATGTCTACATGGATTGGCATTTGGAAGCATCCAAACGTTATCAGGAACCTAAAATTGCCTCTATAAAATATAATTTCTACACTAACTGAGGCAAACAACTAAAAAAAGACAAAAGGGTTCCAAGGCCTCCCTTCCCCAACCCATCTGGTCTCAAGACTCCTGGCAGCCCCCCTCCTGCTCAGGCCCAACTCCATTGCCATCATCCTCCCTCATGCCTCACCTCTTCTATACCCTTGGTTTCCTCATTCAAATTCTCTCACTGAACTTCTCTTCCTCAGAATCTCTCCCAGCTCTCTCCTCTCCTAAACCTTTTAAAACCTGCCCCATTAGAGACTTCTGAGGATCCAAATAACCCCCAAATTTCTTCTGTTCCCTGGACTAAGGCTGAATTCACAAGCCATAGTTAAAGAGTTTCCTAAAGTGACTGAGGACCCCCATAGATTTGCTGAAGATTTTAGCAGTTATTCAAACTTACCAACCTGGTTTCTCAGATATATATCAGTTAGTCTACATGCTTGTAGATGAACTGGGCCAGACCAAGGAGTGGAGAAACTAGCCCAGTGGAAACATCCTGAAAGGGATTCAATCACACAAACAGATCCCTAACTTTTGGCAAGACATTAGAACACTTGGCTGGAAACCTCCACGGAGAAATTACAGTGGCCTTTCCTAGGCCTGTTGATTGGAACTAAATTTAGGCTTGCACAAAAGCCTGATGAATCTATTCATGACTATTACAATCATTCAAACTGTCTTTAAAGAAAATTCTGATCTTGCTGTAGATGTTGAATCCACACAGGTAGCATTTATGTTTATTAGCAGGCTGAACTGGGGTCTTTCTCTTTTAATTAAAAGAACCAAGATGAATGTGAAACTATGTCCACTTTAGATTTAATTTGGCAAACCAGCCTGCTTGCACCCTAGACAAGTTACCTGAAAGACCGCTAAAATTATTAATTTTTAACTCCAGCAAATGAAAGCCCCTAAGCAAAACCAAAAATCTCCTACTTTCTATTACTGCAAAGAGCCAGGACATTGGAAAAAAGATTGTTACCCTCTTAAATGCTTCAGACATCTTCAGCCCTCTAGCCAGCCTTTCCAATGTCCTCCTAATTCCCAATGATGGGACTCCAAGGAACTACAAGTGGTCTTCCCAATCTTCCCACTTAATCAGGTTGGGGAAATGACTCTCCAGATTGGGAATGCATTTCTCTCTGTCCTTGACACCAGAGCTACAGTCTGGAAGCTCCATCTCCCTGCTATGAAATAGACCTGCTTCAGCATACTAAAACAGTTCAAACAGTGGGGGTCTTGAATCAACCTCTGCAGGTTCCTGTCTATCATCCTATCCCCTTTTGTCTAGGCCCTTTAAGGAGTACACACTTTTTTCTCCTTAGTTCTGCCACCCCATTCAGTTATCAGGCTGAGATTTCTTAGAAAATATTATGCCAGAATTCCTTTCTCCCAAAAGGGGGAAATAATTTTACAATTTGACATTGGTAATTAAAATACCCAGCCGGGTAAGTTAAACGACCCTTCAACATCTTTTATTAGATCTGATGGTACCACAGCGGAGCCTGGGGACAATGATCATTTGTTCCTATTGGATCGGCTACCATCCTCTTTATGTGCAAGATCTTCCACTGATACTGGCAGAATCTACAGTGCATCTCCCATCAAGATTCAAACAGATCCCTCAACCCCCTCCCCAGAATTAATGAATACCTTAAAGAAGTCCTTCAAGGCATCCAGCCCACACAGAAGATTACAAGGCTCAGGGTCTCATTATTCCCTGCACTAGTGCCCATGACATCCTTATTTTACCTATGAGAAAACTAAATGGCCAAGAAAGGAGGTTTGCTCAGGACCTCCAAGCAATAAATAACATTTTTATCACTTGGCACCCTGTTGTTCCTAACCCCCATAGGCTACAGATACCTATTCCCACACAAGCAAATGTTTCACTACTATCTATATAGTACACTTTTAGTATTCCAGTTGGTAAGGCTAGCCAATTTATTTTTGTTTGTATTCTGGAAGAACAGAAATATACCTGAACAATAATGCTCTAAGGTGTCACAGAGAGTCCTTCTCATTTTTTCCAAACCTTAAAAGCTGATTTGGATGACATAGTTTTCTCAGGTTCTACTTTGTTACATTTGCTTCTCTGCTGCCCTTCTCAAACCTCTTCACAGGAAGACAATACCTACCCCTTAAAACTTTTGGACTTGGACATAAAGTCTCCAAAGAAAAAATGCAGTTTGCTCAAACTCAGGTTCTACACTTAGGGTGTAGACAAACAAAACCAGGGAACAAAACCTGATTTCAGAATAAGGGCTACATTTGGATTCTGGGAGGCTTCATTGCATCCTGACTTCCCTCAAATCTAAAACTAATATTTAATTACAATGTTTTCTTGGACTGACTAGCCAATGTTGAAACTGGATTCCAAACTTCTTATAGCTCAACCTCTATATGCTTTACCAAAAAAAAAAAAAAAAAAAAAAAAAAAAAAAA